GGCTGGATCATATGGTAAGTCTATTTTTAGTTTCTTGAGGAATCTCTATACTGTTTTCCATAGTGGCTGCACCAAACTACATTCCCACCAGCAGTATAGGAGGGTTCCCTTTTCTCCACAGCCTCTCCAGCATTTGTCATTTGTGGACTTTTGAATGATGGCCATTCTGACTGGTGTGAGGTGATACCTCATTGTTGTTTTGATTTGCATTTCTCTGATAATTAGTAACATTGAGCATTTTCTCATGTGCCTATTGTCCATTTGTATGTCTTCACTGGAGAATTGCTTGCTTAGGTCTTTGCCCATTTTTGATTGGATTGTTTTTGTTATTAAGTTGTATGAGCTACTTATTTATTTTGGAAACTAAAACTTTGTCAGTCGCATCATTGGCAAATATTTTCTCCCATAGTTTGTTCTGTTTCGCTTATGGTTTCCTTTACTGTGCAAAAGCTTGTAAGTTTAATTAGGTCCCATTTGTTAATTTTTTGCCTTTATTTCTGTTCCCTTGGTAGAGTGCCCTAGGAGAACATTGCTAAGATCTAAGTCAGAGAATGTTTTGCCTATGTTTTCTTCTAGGAGGTTTATTATGTCTTATATTTAAGTCTTGAAGCCATTTTGAGTTTATTTTTGTGTTATGGTGTGAGGGCGTGATCTGCCTTCATTGATTTACATGCTGCTGTCCGGCTTTCCCAACACCATGTACTGAAGAGACTTCTTCTCTATTGTATATTCTTGCCTCCTTCGTTGCAGGTTAATTAACCGTAGGTCTGTGGGCTTATTTCTGGGCTGTGTGGTAGCTGGCACGTGCCACTCCATTTAGTAGGAAAAACAGAAGGCCCACCTGCATCTTAGGCCAGTGGTTCTCAGATTTGCTGTCAGAGAGGAGCACAATCAACCTCATCTCAGACACGGCAGAAGTGCACCCAGGCCCCACCCCTGCTGATTAGAAACTGGCGGGGGGAGGGGCCTAGGCCCCCAGTGATTCTGGTGCAACCTTAAGTTTGAGATCCACAGAAGCCACTAAGGAGATTTTAGGGATGTGCTTTTGTTCCTTGTCTTTCTTAACTCAGTGTTGGACCAAGGATAGAACAGAAGGGCAGAATAAACACGGATCGATGCCACACCAGTTCGTCCCAGGCGTGGAAACAAATGTCCTCTTAGCTCTACCTTTTTTTTTTTAAATATATTTTTATTGAAGTATAGTCTGTTTACAGTGTTGTCAGTTTCTAGTGTACAGCACAATACTTCAGTCACATAGGAACATACATATATTCATTTTCATATTCTTTTTCATCATAAGTTAGTACAAGATACTATGGTTCCCTGTGCTCTACTGTATAAACTTGTTTATTGGATTTTGTGAGAATCCTGTATTTCGAAATGAGAGACACTCTGCCAGAGAGTTCAGTAGGTGTTCTGTGCGATTCACTGGGTTTGTAGATGTAATTCTTGGTGTATTTGTGAGAGAGGGTGGGCTGTGAGTCTCCACTCCACCATCATGACTCCGCCCCTCTGCTGCTTTCATTGCTAGTTTACTCCCTCCACCTCCACACCAGCCCCGGCCCCATCATCTAAACATTTAATCACCTTTGTGGTTTTTTTCCTATTGTTACAAACTAGTGATTTTCCCAAGAGCATTAAACAGATTTTCTTTCTTTCTGGTTAGTTCCCAGAAATGAACGCCATGATAATGAGACGGTTCAGTTTACCAGGAGACGTGGACAGAGCGCGGCAGTACGTGTTACAGGTGAGATTATTTCTAAAAGAAGAAAGGCAAGAGCAGGTATGGTGTGGCAGAGCTCTTGAACCAAACAAACGATACAAGACCAAGTTTGGTCAATTCTTGATTTGATAGAAACTGAGAGGGAAAAACTTAGATAATTC